TAACCCCGCAATAAAGTCCAAAGAGATGTCTTCAAAGACTTGATTCGGAATTGGGAGAGATTGAAGAAGTCCGGCAGAGGCAAGGCTAGTACTTTTCAATCTTTGACAGACCTTACATTCTGTAACATATTGACGAACATTGTTGCGCATACCCTTCCAATAGAAAATTGCAGCTAATCGTTGGAATGTGCGAGTAATACCCGCTTATCCCCCTAACAAGGAACAATGAAACTCCCATAATAGTAATGAACGGGGCGCGACTTCCCTAGGGACCATAATTCTTCCTTGGACCAAAACCAGTTCATCGTGTTCTTCATAGCCATGATATTCCCCTTTACCATCTTGAAGATAAGCACGAATACGCTGAATATTTGTATATTGTTTACTTGCTGTCCGAATATCGCTAATAATTCCATACAGAGGTCGGGAAAGAACTATGAAAGTAGCTTCAAATTCCCTTGATAAGGCATCTGCAATATTGTTAAGTTTGCCTGGGCAATAACGGATCTCAAAGTCATATCCAACCAGCTTAGATAACCATCGTTGTTGCTCCAGTGTCTGAATGGTTTGCTGGTTTAACTCCCGCAATGATCGCTGATCCATGATGATAGAAAATCAATGCCCCACAAGATATTAACGCCACTTCCCAACTGCCTTAATAATTACGAACATTTCACGACCATATGTGGAAGCATTTTGCATTCGATAACTAAGTTTCTGGCTGAAGTGAGCCAACGGATTACCATCCTGGGTTAACACCGCTCCAATTCCTATTCCATAAGCATCCGTTTCAAGCTGAAATTCTTTATCTAAGTTTGGCAATCCCAAAACTGGGGCAGAGAAAAGACATTATTGCAACTGTTGCATTGCTACCTGGGCAGCAGGAGTCCACATGAAAGCTTCATTCTTGCGTAACAGATCCGAAATAAGAGTTGCAATAGTAGCAAAGCCTTTAATAAACTTGCGATAGTAGCCAACGATGCCTAGGAAACTCCGGACTTCCTTGATTGTTGTGGGTGTTGGCCAAGATCGAATCGCATCAACTTTAGTCGGGTCAACCGCTAGGCCCACCTGTGATACAATATGACCCAAATATTCTATTGTGGTATGCCCAAATGAACATTTGCTGCGCTTAGCAACAAATCTGTTATCTCGCAACTGGAGGAGCACCTGGGCTGCCGTACATGGTGCAAGTGATCCTGGAAGGTTGACGGGGAATTGGTTAACCCAAACGGCATGACAAGGAATTCGTAATGCCCTTCATGTGTTCGAAAAGTTGTTTTATGAACATTTGCATCCTTGACTCGGATTGGATGGTAGTCAGCTAGCATATCCAATTTGGAGAGGAATAGAGCAGTACCACAACAACAAAAATAACAATAAAACCCTATTATCATATGTAATGGGGTAAGGGGAGGTAGGGTAGTAGGTTCCCCCAACGCCAGTTTGAGAGCAGCTTCCGTGAAAGGAATAGAGCAGTACCGAGTTCGTCAAACAACTCCTCGACAGTGGGAATAGGAAATTTATCCTTAATCGTGGCAGCGTTTAAAGCTCGATAATCAACACAAAACCGCCAAGTGCCATCCTTTTTTTTACCAGCAAGACCGGAAATGAGAATGGGCTTGTACTCTTACGAATTAATTGGTGCTCCAACATCTGCTGCACTTGTCATTCCACCTCTGCTTTCTGAAAATAGGGGTATCAATATGGTCGAACATTAATTGGCTAGCTTCGAGAGTGCAGGTGAATCGAACGATCATTCTCCCGAACTGGAGATAATCCCTGTAGAGCTGCAAACACTGATTCAAATTCAGCTAGGAGTGTATGCATCTCCTCTTATTCGATTGGAGCCTCGGTCACCATACCCACATCCAATTGTAATAAATAACACGCAGCTATTGCTTTTGTATCAGTCATCCGTCGAAAATAGTGTAACTAGATTTGTTGGGGACCTAACTTCGATTCCCCTTGCCAGCAATGTTCCTGCGCTCATTGTCGAAACTGGAAGCGGAGCTTGAAAAAATCCATAGTCACTGGCCCAAGAGTGGCCATCCAAGCGACACCTAACACCATTTCAGCACCTTCTAAGGGAAGAACATAAAAATCTGTAATCAATTCTGTAACTTGCGCTCAAAACTTAAGATTCCTAACACAACCTTCATTCTTCAGCTTCTCACCATTTCCAACAAGGACCCTGAAGTTCGGCGCTACCGCTACTTGTAAACCCAAGTGTTTCGTGACGCGAGACTGTACCAAGTTGTGAGTGCTGCCGCCGTCTATCAAAATGGGCACTTGTCGGCCTCTAATTTCCCCAGTAACCCGAAGAGTATTAGGAACTAAACAGCCGGCAAGAGCATTGAATGAAACCAATGATTGTTAGCGGATGACCTCGTCTGAGTCGTCAGCTTCGATTCCCTCCTCTGACAGCGATTCGAGGTGGTTATCCTCGATCTCATCATCCATGAGAAACAATTAAGGGTTCTTGCATTTTTTATCGGGATCGCGTCGAACTTGAGCCTCAGCAACAGAGATTTTACGTGGCAGAATAGAATTTGATGGTAGTATGGAAGTTTCCAGGTGTGGTGAGTAGCCAAGTTGGGTTTTAGGCCCAATGAAATTGGTATTTGGCGTAGGTAAAAGTGGAGGAAGTTTCGAGCCTTGGGCACGACCCAAATAATTAATTTTAGCCTCATGAAACTGGGCCAGAGCTAGTACCTCAGGCATGGACGTAGACCGGTGGCTTTTTTCACAGAAAACAGAAGGTAGGAGAAGAAAAGATAAAGAATAGATTAAGAGAAGGAAAATGTTCAGGTTTTTTTCACAACTTATTCATTTACAGCAGCAGTATTTATAACTTCACTCTTCAGAAACGAACAAAATCCGTTAGGGTCCGAGGTGTCTTTCTCCCTCTCTTACTCCTACGGATTTCTTGATTGTCCTTGGTGATCCCTGCACTGATGTCAGCTTCTCCATTTGCAACCGTCTCTTCCCTTGCTACCTCCACGTTGTTCTTGACAGTATTGTATTAAACAATTTAAAGTTATGATTATTATCTTGAAGATTCGATCCATTTCAAATGGCACTAAATTGGATGATACCGAACTTAGAGGTTTAATAAAATTTGTTATCATTAATGCACAGTGTTCCCTAAGAACAACGTTTGGAACCTTGCTTGGAACTTCGATGGTCCCTAGCGAGTGAAGTAATTTATTTGGTTGATTATTCGAAACCGTTTAATGACGATCGTTGAACGAGCTCGAAGGGGTATCACCAACGACCAAAGCTGCTCCATTTGCTGTACTGCCGAAGAAACCGTGATGCATATCCTCCGGGACTGCCACCTAGCCAACACCATTTGGAGGACAATTATACCTCCGAGATTTATTTCGGTTTTTTTCTCCTTCCTCTCTTTAACAGATTAGTTGTAGTTTAATTGTCTAATAATGCAGGTATTAAAAATGACAACTGGAACTGGAACCATCTTTTTGGCGTCCTCAAATGGCAGTTTTGGAAAGCTCGAAATGACTTTGTCTTCAATGGTCGCATCGGGGCAATTTCAAATATCATTGAATCGGCCAAGAGCTGGGAAGAGATCATCAAGAAGAACAAGAACAGAGAGCTCAATAACGTGAGAAGTAGAAGCAAAGCGCAATGGAGACATCCACCCCTGGGGTATGTCAAGCTTAACACCGATGGAAGCGTTAACCTATCAACTCTGGCAGCCTCGAGTGGGGGAGCCCTTCAAACGGAGAACGGAGACTGGATACAGGGATTTACGAGGTACATCGACTACTGCTCCGTGTATGAGACCGAGGTGTGGGCGATTCTTGATAGAATGCAGATGGCGTGGGACTATGGAGCTCGGCAGCTGATTGTTGAGACTAATAATAGCCTGGTGATAGAGAATCTGAATTCCTCGATGATTGATTGAACCTGGCCTTATACGACGTGTGCGATATGCGGCCAATCGTCAATGGACGGTGATGTTCATATATACTCCTTGTGAAGCAAACAAGCTAGCAGACAGCTTAGCCAAGCTTGGCCGTGATAGATGTTTGGGACGCACGACGATTCACCACCCGCCCAGCGAGATCCTCCATATTCTCAAGGCGGATAAGGCAACCTTGAGGAACAGACTTCTCCACTGTTAACACAGTGATCCCAACCCTTTGTAACCAAAAAAAAAAAAAGATTATCTACGTCAATATTAATATAAAAAAATAAAATTTACATGAACATATCTTAAAAAATTAGACATGAATATATTCATAAGTATATGATAAATAATATTCGTTTCCGTAAACTAAACACTTCCTAAAATAAAGAAGAATAAAATTTAAGTCGAGGAATTCAAAGACATGTTTAAAGCATTAAACTAAATTATATATATATATAGTGTTCGATGAAAATAAATGATATAAAAATAGAAGTGAGATCTCAAAAAAGGTAAAGGTTAACCTAAACCATTAAAGGAAATTTAACATTTTATTAATAATTGATAATATTTTATATATGCTAAGTTCTAGTTAATATAAGATATTTTCTAAAATAATAATGAATTTAAGAGAAATTGAACCTAAGACCTACCTATAGGTACAACAAATAATAATTGAATCAGATTAAATATTTATTTTATTATTAAAAAATTATATTTATGTTAAATTGTGTTTACTGTAAAAGTTTTGAATTTTTAAATAAAATTTGATATTTTTTATTATTCACTTTTTATTTTTATAATTATTTAATTAAAATTTTAAAATTAATTAATAATTTTAAAAACTAATATTTTTATTATTTTAAAAAACCAAGCATAGAATTTTTCATTATATTTCTATCTACTACCAAGATCCAATTTTGTTCCAAACAGTGCTCGCATTAACATTGACGTGGAGGCATTGTCCACCTCTTATTGCCTGTGGGGATGTTTAAAGGCCACGAAATAAATGTTATCCCATTCCCATATAACAACAATCCCATCCATACTCTGCCTAGATCCATTGCCAGGGTTGTAAATAGATAAGGAAGCAAAGAAAAAAAATGCTTGGACTATGCATCAAGCTAGCTGTACTCGTCTTTACAACGATGTTGTGCATATGTACAACGATCACCAATCTTCACCCTCTGATTTTGGTTCCAGGGAGTGGCGGGAACCAACTTGAAGCGCGGTTAACTACTGGTTACAAGCCCCTGAGTCTGTTTTGTAACCGTTGGTACCCAATTTCCAAGGATAAAGAAGGTTGGTTCAGACTGTGGTTCGACCCCAGTGTGCTGCTGGCTCCATTTACCAAGTGTTTTGCTCATCGTATGATGCTTTATTATGACCCCGATTTAGATGATTACCGCAATGCTCCCGGCGTTGAATCCAGGGTCCCTGCATTTGGTTCTACCGACTCCCTCCTCTACCTCAACCCTAATCTAAAGTAAGTTTATTGAACCAAATTGCTTTCGTATCTGAATGACACGACTGGATCTAATCACTGTAAATACTCGGCTCTTTTTGCAGGAAACTCACAGCATACATGGCACCTTTGGTAGATTCCTTGGAGGAGATTGGTTATGTGAGTGGTGAAACCCTGTTTGGAGCTCCGTACGACTTTCGGTATGGGTTAGCAGCTGAAGGCCACCCGTCCCGTGTGGGCACCAAGTTCCTGGAAGACCTAAAACATCTGATAGAAAAAGCAAGCGCTTCCAATGGAGGAAAGCCAGTGATTCTCCTCTCCCATAGCTTGGGAGCGCTTTACGTACTCCAGCTTCTCAACCGAAATTCACCCTCTTGGCGCCAACGATACATCAAACACTTGGTTGCACTTTCAGCTCCTTGGGGCGGCACGGTTCAAGAAATGCTGACTTTTGCTTCTGGGAGTTCTTTCGGGGTGCCTCTGGTTGATCCGTTGCTGGTTAGCGGGGAACAAAGGAGCTCCGAAAGTAATCTATGGTTGCTGCCTTCTCCTAAGCTTTTTGGTCCTGAAAATGCTCTTGTTATCACTCCGGACGAGGCTTATTCGGCTCTTGAAATCCCACAATTTTTGAATGACATTGGATTTCCGGAAGGGGTGATACCTTATAAATCACGAATCCTGCCCTTGACGGTGGCATTACAAGCTCCCAATGTTAGTATTACCTGTATATTTGGGACAGGCGTGAAGACTCCAGAGACTTTGGTTTATGGGGAAGCAGGGTTCGATGAGCAGCCAGAGGTGGTTTATGGGGATGGAGATGGGACGGTGAACTTGGTGAGCCTGTTGGCACTCGAGTCACTCTGGAATATTGACGAAAATCAACCACTTAAGGTGATCCGAATCAGTGGGATTTCTCATACTTCAATACTTGAAGATAGGGCAGCACTTGAAGAAATAATAGCAGAAATTTCTTCAATCAATTATGTAGCCCAGGTCAAAATCTCTTCTGGGTAGAGCCTTCGATCACCAACTTTTCAGATCTTCCATTGTACATGAACGGTTCCAACTTTGGATTTAATTAGAACATTGCAGGCCTAGGATGTGCAAATATACTTCATTCAATCTGGGAAGGCGTGATTCGAGTTAAAACGAGTAAAATTCGGTTAAAATTAAGCTAATTGATCAATTTGTGTGTCGACAATAAAATGAAATATGTAAATGTTCTTTAATATTTATTAAGACAATTAACGATGAACTTATTACAGGTTTTTTTAAAGTAGACGATCAGTTTTTATATTTGAAAGATGGATTAAATTTAATTTCGATTATTATTAATTAAACAACCCTATTGGGCATCTCTAATTGGAGTTCGATATTGTAGCTGGTAAACGAGAACAGCATGCTTTGCACCAGTTTGATATTCGACTTTATATTACTGAATATTTGAAGAAACTAAAAGAACAGCTTTTGTTTGATTGATTATAATATTTAATAGCTTCGCAAAGATCAAATCCCCAATTCAGAAACACTTTCTCTCTAGGTTGTTGGAAAATAACACATAATTATTTGGAAAAAAAATCCCCGTTCAAATATAATATAACCAACACATGCTGGGAGTAAGTTAATCTCGGATGGGACTGGAATAAGTTGATAAAAAAAAAAAACAAAGGGCGTTAGAGTTGAGGAGGTGGAGCAAAAGTTGCAGGGTTCCCTCACGTGTCGACGTTATATTGAACCAATGAGGAACAGCGGAAACATTGGCAAAGTGCATAAGAGCGGTAATCAAAGTGGTCAAAGCTGAAAACCAATGAATCCGCCCAGGAAAATAAAAGATAAAAGTGACCCCAAATTTAGAGCGAACCCAACTGGTCAAAACTCAAAAGCCGGGCTGGCACTTTAACAAAGGCACGCTCTCTCCCCTGGACTGGACTACTGCCCCACGAGCTCTTTCCATTCCACTTTCTGTATTTATATATTCCGTACCTTTACTTAGTACAGAACATAGATGCTTTTATAAGAGGTTATTTTCTTGAAAAATCTCCCTAGGGAACTTTAATTTCCTATCAGTCACCGTTCAGACCTTATTTTTTGATCTAACATCTATTACAAAAAAGTGTGCCCCTGCGGTGCGTTTTATGCTGATTTGGCGCTACGTGGGATAAGGCGTCCCCCCTAAAACGCGTCTTATGCTGAGTTGGATACACGTGGCTAAAGCGCGGCCCCAAGGGCGCACCTTACCTTTAATTCTAACACGCGTCAGGCACCATAATCGGGCAGAGTGACATACATATTTTTTCTGTCGTGGAGAGGTCGATTCTGGATTGAAAAAAATTACGGATATTAAATTTTTTTATAGCCAATATCGCTTCTTCTTTGCTTGAAAACTTCATGCCTAAAAATAACTCACCATTATTTATTGATGAGTAATATCCATAGTCACCGAGATGAGGCATATCCGCAAATTCTGGCCCATACATTGCACCATAATCAGCTTCATATATGTGTGCTGGAGGGTCAGCTTGTGCCACATTTGAGAGAACTTCATCTACATCATCATCATCATATGAGTTGAATTGCGGTGATTCTGGGTGAATAAATAGTCCAGTCTTAGCACCATCTGCACCAGGCTCACGAAGCGGTTCTTCTGGTGGAGATGATGGTTCCTCCATGCTCTCCACATTTAGGTCGAAGAACCTACTGCTTGCACGTCTTCCCCTTGAACTATAAGGCATATCGACATTGAGATTGAAAAAGCTCGCAGTCGAATGTTTCCCCCTGGAGCTTGAAGCCATCGTGTCAAATGGAAACTGCACATATTGTTGCGTCGATGACATCTCCATATTAAGGTCAAAGAAATTTGCAGATGAATGCCTTCCCCTTGAACTGGACGCGATGTTTCCATATGGATTGTTTGTGGACCCACTTCGGTACATATCGTAAGGAGTTGCTGATGAATGTCTCCCCATTAAAGTTGATGTGACGGCACCATGATGCGTATTTCCAATTATAGCATTAAAATCATTATACATTACTGTAGTCGGGCTGTCAACTTGATCAACTTGTTCAGCCAGCCCATAGTGGGAGCTTAATGACTGACCCCGACTAGCATGCACTTGAACAAACTTTGCATACATCTGAATATCGCCGTCAGAATAATTACTTTGAGAATCAACCATCATTTCAACATCATCATTGTTCGATAATTCGAACGTTGTATAAGTTAATGACAACAATGACGTTGAAAATCTGTACTGCAACGACGTCATTCTTCTACTACTTCCAACATGAACCTTCCTCGAAATCTTCGTTATCAGCTCCTCAAGAGTTATGTTTCTCTTGAATGATATTTTCACACGCTAATTTGATACGAAAACAACGTCGGTTTCATCTTCTCGAATTTCTCCATCATAATAAACAATAGCTGAAAGTCGAGCCATTCTTAGAGTTTAAAAGTGCGACAATATTATATCTGCAAAAAAACAACTGAAACAAACCTAATTAAACAAATAATATATGAACGAAAATATAACACAATAAAACTTTTACACATAAACGTAAATAATTTAAATAATATAATTTAATATTATTACATGTACCGCAAAAATATTTCGACGTATGCTCCCGCTTTCTAATTTTACAAACACAAAAATTAATCGAAAACAATTAGTATAATATTTTTTCAAATAATAATATATAATTATAAAAAACTATAACCAAATTATCTTATAATGAAAGATCGAATGAACTTCTGAATCAAATATAAGATGATTGACATGTGTTTTTTACTGGTTGAAAGGATTATTGTATTAATTTCTCGGTTGAGAGTGAGTTGTGAGAGAGTTCACGGGGAGGGGGCTATTTATAGCTAAGAGACGATGCTTAAAAGCCGAAAAGTTCGGGTAAATTATGCAAGGCGCGGCCCCTGCCCCGTGCTATAGCCTTACGTGGCGTAAGGCGCGCACCAAGAGCCACGCTTTAGCCACGTGTATCTAACTCAGCATAAGGCGTGCTTCAGGGGCGCGCTTTACTCCACGTGACACCAGATCAACGTAAAATGCGTCTTTCTGTAAAAAGATATTAGATCAAAAAATAATATTTGAACAGTGTCTGACAGGGAATTAAAGTTCCCTAAGGTGATTTTTCGGCAAAATCACCTTTATAAGAGACGTGGGCTTACTTTGTGTTGTTTTTAATTGATATTTATTTCCTTCAAAAATGCACCCTTTTTCGGTGTTAGTTTTAAATGGTAAAATAACGAAAGGATTGATTGTTCTGATGAGCAAGGGCGAACGTCATTGGGCCTTTTTTTTACCCAGCATTGATTCATTGTCCTGATTTCTCCTGCCTATGACCATCGCAATTTATATACGGAACAAAAATTTGTGTCATTTTTTATTTTTATTCTATTTTAATTATTTGATAAATGAGTAAAAATGGATAACTGTAAACATCAATTTTTGTCTGAGACTCTTTTACGTTATATAGTATGTTGTATATTTTATTGTATAGTATATATTATATTATAGTATATATTATATTAATATAGTATACAATATAGTGTATATATATATATATATATATATATTATATTATTATAGTATATATATTACAGTATTATATTATATATTATAGTATTTATATTACTATATTATAGTATATTATTTAGTATTATATATATTATAGTTATTATATTATATTATATTATTTATTAATAATGTTTTTATTTTTAGATCCAATAAAGAGTCCAAGTCCATAGTCCAATCTGGTCCAAAAAAGAAGTTCAGCCGAGTAGGAGGTATGACCCAACAAGCCAACCCAGTGAGAGCCCAGCAAGAGGAAGCCCAATAGCATGACACAACAGATTAAGGTTTTCTCATATAAGCATCAGCTTTGCATCAACCAGGGTGGTTGGATTTGGCTTTTTGATCCAACGACCGAAAACGCACCAAATGAACCCAATGGTTACTATTCAACGGTGCATGGAGGCCACGCGCCAACAAGGTCACCAAACTGAAGCCCAAAATAAAAAAATCGGAGCAAAACCAAGGAGCAAATCGGAGGGAGAACTCCCATATTTTTTTAGCAACAAATGACGAAAAATCAGTCACATCCAAACATGCAAATAAAATCCCAACAAAATTGGGATTACAATGACCCGATTCAAGGAAAACATTCCTTTTTCGAGTGCTATAAAAAGGCCTCCAGTGAAGCTAAGAGAAAACAAGCATCGAAACACAGTAAAAATTGAGCAAAGCATTTCGCAAAACCACAAAAAAAAGTAGTAGCTTCGATTTTGGCTCAGAGGAAGAATTGTTACTGGAATTCGAAAGGCCATCGTCGGGAAAGTTAAAAGTCGAAACTTTGAATGTAGATCTATGATGTTTGGGGGGTTTTAGGAAACTTGGGGCTCGGGTTCGGTATCAAGGTATTGAGAGGAGTATTCGAGGGGTCGACCATTGGTGTTGGTCGGAGCGGTGGTCCGGGCAGTGGGACTTTGTCAGTGGGTGGTCGGCTTTCGGCCGATGAGGAAAGATTAAAGAGAATTTGAGAGAGGTTAGAGGAGAGCTTTTGAGAAATTGGTGAAAAATGAAGGAAATTGAAGTTTTAAAGGCTATATATAGGGAGGACCTCTGTGTAATTACTAATTAGTTAAATTATTTTTTTAATCCTTGTACTTTTGATGTGTAGTTCATTTTGGTCACATATTGTAATTTTTCCTTTGAATTTCGAATTAAATCAATTTAGTCCTTTTAACTTACTTTTATATTTTTTTTATAATTTGGTACCCTAATCCATTTTTTCATTTTGAAGTATTTTTATTATTTATTTCTTTATACTTAACATTAATTGTATATTTTTAGGCAATTTTAAAACATCAAAATTCATCAAAGGTAAGTAATTTAGATCGAACATTTAAATTCCAATTTCGATTTCGTAATTAAGACGACCGGAGCAATCAAATTGGTACCGAAAGGGCAATACAATGGTGCTAATTCTTCCTTGACTGTAATCGACTCCTGAATCCGACTATTTTTTTTTTTGTAAAAGTTAGATCTGACAAACGGTAGGTTAAGGTGTCCGATCAACTTAATTTGAAATGATCGGTGACGACTTCATCACATCAATTTAAGTCGAAACGTAATCCTCGTACCACCCGAAGGACCGTTGCGATAGTTATAAAGTCATAAAGTATTAAAAGTGTCATGAAAATAAAAGTGTAAATACTACTA